GTGGAGGAGAGGGGAGGTCCCCTGATGAGCCCTCTCCCTCCCCCATAGCAATGGCCTCAAGGAAGCCCAGGCACTATGCTCACAGGAGGGACTCCACGCCTGGCCTTTGGGGTGAATCGGTGGAGGAGAGGGGAGGTCCCCTGATGAGCCCTCTCCCTCCCCCATAGCAATGGCCTCAAGAAAGCCCAGGCACTATGCTCATAGGAGGGACTCCACGCCTGGCCTTTGGGGTGAATCATGATGGAGATGCCTGTGGGCCGAAGAGTTTTAAACAATGTAAAAAGAGTTTATCTTTATTTTTCTCATTATTTAAAGGAATGAATGCTTGTTATTTTAAAAATTGGGGCAAAAGAGAAAAGTAGGATGAAGGAGGAGAGATTACCCATGATCCCAGAGATCTAGACAACTATGCCTAGGAGGATTTCCTTCTAGATTCTTCCTGAGCCTAGTGTTGACCACCTCTGGTCACAGTGCCAGATGCTGCTTTCTGCATATGGCATCATCATAAAGTGAGTTTTCTCCAAGTTACTTTAGACCCTTCCCCGCACCTAAGTGGCTCTCTCTTTTACCTGATGTGCATTCTAAGGGTGGCAGGAGCGCATTCTTACTGGCCTTGCCACATCCTCACTCTGTTCCTGGGGAAGATTCTTCCCAGCCTCAGTTTCCCCATCTGCAAAGCAGGGATGTGACCTTTGCTCCTCTTGCATTAGGGTAAGTCTTGATGCTCAGATGAGGAAACCCAGTAACCTGGAGAAGCTGAGGGGTACAGTTATTGCTTTTCGGGGGCACTGTTTCTTTCCTCCCTCTCCCCCCAAAAAACTTCCTCAGGAACCCACAGAGTGCAGCTGTTTCTGCTGGAGCCTCCACTCCGGGTTCCTCCTCAGATTATTATAGCAGGTGCCGCTAATACTGAAGATGTTTTAACTGACTATTCATTTTTAATTATGTAGACAATACATGAATACATTCTTATCTTCAACATCATCCGTAAGGCTACAGGTGGCTTGGTGGACGGCCACCAAGACTGCCTCCTATGGCTTTACTCACATCTGTTTCTAATCCCAAATTCTGATTCACAGTCTCACCTCCAAACCCAGCCCTTGCCTTCAGCTCCTGTAGTTCCCATGAAGTGAGATTTCCTCTTTTTTACAGACCCGAGCCTCAGTCTCAGACCCAAACTCCCAGCGGTTTCTCTCTCTAAACTCTGCCAGTGGGAAAAGGCACCCCCAAAGGGTTGGCTGCCCTCTTGTCTCCCAGCCCCAACAAATGTCCTGATGAGGCATTTCTGGCCTCTCTTTCAGGCCCTCCCTGCTGACCTTTGCCTCTGGTTTTCTTCCAGAAAGGCTCCACTGTCCAGAGCCTCAGGCAGTACACATTTGCTGAGTGCCCTTGTTATCTGGCACCTGCTTCGAGCCAGGCCCGACACTACGTGCTTTATATGCACAAACTCCTTTGATTGGCACAAGTTTATTATTATACCCATTTCACAGATAAGGAAACAGAGGCTCAGAGAAGTTAAGTAGCTTGCCTCCAAATCCAGACCCTCAAGATGCAGTGTCAGAGGCATTGTTTCTCAGACATTCTGGCTGGCCTGTAGCAGAATCATTCAAGGAGCCCTGTAAAAATAGGGATGCCAGGGCCCCACCTCAGACTTGTGGAATAAGAATCTTGGGGGCTAGGGCACCCCCAAAGTTTGAGAAGGACCCAACTTTTCCTCCATTGATGGGCTGGAGGATGCCCCATTTCCAGATGGCAAAATGGTTCAGGGCTGCTGCTGCTAATTGTGTGGTCCCCACCCTGCAGGGTCCCCAGGTAGGGCTGACTGGCAGATGAGGGTAGGAAGGGCTGGAGATGGGGTTGGTGGCGCAAAGGTCATGAGAACACTTCTGACCATCATATCCCTCCACCCTCAGTTTCGAGAGAACCTCCAGGACCTGCTGCCCACCCTGCCCTATACTGATGACTACTTCCTCCTGCGCTGGCTCCGAGGTGAGGCTGGCTGGGGTCAGGGGAGGCAGAGAAGGAGGGAAGGAAGGAGAGTCTCAGGAGAGGGGCTTGGGGCCTTTGGGGGACAATGCTACAGAGTGGTAAAGAACACCGGCTCTGGAATCAGCCTGCTCTGGGCTAGAATTTAAGTGTCCCTGTGCATTAGCACAGCACAAAACCCCTGCTGAGCCTCAGTTTCTTCATCTGCAAAGTGGGGATGAGGCACTAGGTAAGAACATCATCAAAGTGAGGTGAGAGTTAACACCCAAAAAGTCCTTAATTGGCCTGGCCAGGCCTTGAATCAGATATCCTGGGCACTGTCATCAGTACTTCCCTTTGGGTCTATCTCCAGTTCCCTGAGGAAAGGGCTATGTCGTCCTCTTAAGTAACCTAAGTGTCCCCTAGGGCACCGAGCAGATGCCCAGCAAATATTTAAGGAAATGGATGTAATTAAAGGTATAGAAGGAGCTTCTTCTAGGAATTACAGCAGTAGTCTAAAAAAAAAAATAACAGAAGCCACCCCAGGGCTTAGGGAAAAATTCATATTAACTCACTACAGCCCATGGAATGGATTTGGATCTTGAGATGGGAGAGAAGTCAGGAGTCAGCTGGGAAAGCATACACACAGCCCGCACCCAGGGTCTGACTATTCCCTTCTCTTTTGTTCTACCTGAATATTTTAAAAATTATTATTTTTATAAATTTTATTTTTTAGGGGCCGGCCTGTGGCTCACTCGGGAGAGTGTGGTGCTGATAGCACCAAGGCCATGGGTTCGGATCCCACATAAGGGATGGCCGGTTAGCTCACTGGGTGAGCGTGGTGCTGACAACACCAAGTCAAGGGTTAAGATCCCTTTACTGGTCATCTTTTAGAAAAAATAAAAATAAAAAAAATAAAAATAAAATAAATTTTATTTTTTAGAACAGTTTTAGATTTTTAGATAAACTGCAGAGATAATACAGTAGCCATATACTACACCCAGTGTCCCCTATTATTAACATCTTACACTCCTATGGTGTATTTATTACAATTAATGAATCAGTATGGAAACATTATTATTAACTGAAGTCCATTTATTATTTAGATTTCTTTAGTTTTTCTGTCCCAGGACCCCATCCAGGATACCATATTACATTTAATTGTCTTCTTAAGCTTCTCTTGGCTGTGGCAGTTTCTATTTGTTTTTGTTTTTGTTTTTGTTTTTGTTTTTTACAAGGGAACATGTCATTGTCCCCTGCCTGGGCTAAAGAAGGGGTTGGGACAGTAGATATTTTGCAGCATCTTGATACGGCATCAGCCCTCTCTCCTTCTTTTGGAGTCTTTTTTGGGGTTTAAAAACCAACTCTTCGTGTGCCTGGAGATCACAGATACCTTAGGCTGCCTGGTCATGGGAAAAGAAAAGGATCTAAGATTGGGAGGGGGACCAGGTGTCCTGATGCGTCCTACTTCATGCTGTGAGTGACAGGTCTTGCTGACATGGCCTGTCCACTTCAGTGTCAGTTCCACCACTCTCTGCCTCACTAATCCAAGGGCAAAGGGAATGTGATCACTGGGGCTGCATCTGGCCTGATGCTGAGGGGCCTTCCCCAACCCTCCTTCTGAAGTCGCTTCCTTCTGTGTTTCTTTATCTCCATCCCATATCTGTGTCTGTCTCTTCCACTCAGATACCAATTCCATGAAGTCAGGAACTGTGCCTGTACTGGTACCCTCAGCCTGGCACATAGTAGATGCTATGAAAAAAATCTGTCCTTGTATCCCATTAGCAGTACCCAAACCACTGTCTATGACAAGAAACTACACTCTGGTTCTCAACAGAAAAATCTCCTATAGAGACCACAGAGATTTTTTAAAAGCCAGTAGAATAATATTATGAACCAAATATATGCACTAAAAAATTCCAAAATCTAAATGCAATTGATGTATTCCTAGAAAAAAGAAATATAAGGAACCGGCCATCCCTATATGGGATCCGAACCCGGGGCCTTGGTGTTATCAGCACCGCACTCTCCCGAGTGAGCCACGGGCCGGCCCGTAGCAAAAATTTTTAAATCTCTGAAGCATACAGAATAACTTTGTTCATTCAGTTAAATAGCCGCTAGCCACATATAATATTAAAATTAAAATTAAATTAAATTAAAACTTCAGGTCCTGAGTCACACCAGCCGCATTTCAGTTGCTCAGTGACCACAGGCAGCTTGTGGCTACCATATTGAGCAGCTTGGGTACGGATATTTGCATCACCACAGAAAGTACTATGGACAGCATGGACACAGGTGATTTTAATAAATATAGAGCCCAGAGCAACGATCAGGCAGGTAAACTGATAGCTTGTCTTTAAATATTTGCAGAATTGCCATGTTGTCAAGTGATTACATATATTTGACCCCTGACAATGGGGCTGGAATTATTGTGGGGCAGATTTGGTCCAATCAAAGCTGCTGAAGAATGGAGTGGGCTGCCTGCAGAGGTAGTGAACTCCCCATCACGGAGAAAATCAAAGCTGAGTTGGTGGCCTTAGTGGTGCAGAGGAGGCCTGGATAGCTTCTCAGGCCCTTTCCATTTGAAAATCTCTGACCCTGCATCTCATTGCAGCTCCATCAATGGACAAATTCCTCAGTGAGCCAGTGGTCTGAGAGAGCAACAGTCATGGCATTTCTAAAATAGAGCATCACATTTTCAAAGTGAATCTGTTTCTTCAAAATAAGTAATCACTGTAGTTACCATTTATTAAGAACTCACTGTGAGCCCACTAGTGTGCCAAGCACTTTCTATACTTTATCTCATGTTGTCCTTTGAATAACTGAAAAAGATATTATTCCCATTTAACAGATTTTAAAAACTAAGGCTCAGAGAAAGTAAGTGATTTGCTAACGTTTTCAAAGGAAATAAAAGGGCAAAACTAGAATTCAAGCCCAAGTCTGTCTGATTCCAAACACCATGCTCCTCGGTCTCTGCTCCCCGGGGAACACCAAATGTTACACGGTAGATCAAGCTCTAGAACAAACAGTTTAAAAAGGCCTGGAAGGGCTGGCTGGTTAGCTTAGTTGGTTAGAGCATGGTGTTGATAACATTAAGGTCAAGGGTTCAGATCTCCATACCAGCCAGCCACTGAAAAATAAAATAAGTAAGGCCTGGAAACTGAAGTCAAGTGCCCTCCAAAATCTTCTAGAGGATTAAAGATCCTTGCTTTTTAAAAACATTACCAGACTTCCAGTGTATTCTTAGGGTGTCAGGAAATGGATGGTGGTACCCCACTATCTCCTCATAAGTTTTTAGGAAACGGTTCATTCTAGATCTGGCCTCAAGCCTCTTCTTACCTCATCTTCTTCTTGCAGCTCGGAACTTTGACCTGCAGAAATCCGAGGACATGCTCCGGAAGGTGAGGACTTACCCCTAGTGTACTGCCTCCCCAGGTGAAGACTCTTGCCCCGTCCCCTTCTCATATTTCTTCTTCCTTCCACCTCAGATCCCTTTCTGCATCAAACCCAGGTCCCACCCCCAGCCCTCCTGTCCCTATCCCCATTTCTATGTCAGTGGAGCGTGGAGATGCTCTGGCAGGATCTTGGTGGCTGTGAGCACAGGAACCTGACCTGTTGCCCTAGTTGCCCACAGAGGCCTTAGGGACAGGCAGAGTCTTCAGCTCCTGCTACGTCTCCACAGCATGTAGAGTTCCGGAAGCAACAAGACCTGGACAACATCCTCACGTGGCAGCCCTCAGAGGTGAGCCCCGTGTGGCATCCCCTAGGCCATCTGATGCCCCCCTAACCTCACCCAAAATCCCCCACATCCAGCACCTGCTGGAGCAGGGACATGGCCTGGTGGGTTGGTTTGAGTCAGGGCCTTACCCATGTGCCCAGGTGGTCCAGCTGTACGACTCAGGGGGTCTGAGCGGCTATGACTATGAAGGCTGCCCCGTGTGGTTTGACATCGTTGGGAGTCTCGACCCCAAGGGTCTCCTCCTGTCAGCCTCCAAGCAAGAGCTGATCCGGAAGCGCACCAAGTCCTGTGAGCTGCTTTTGCATGAGTGTGAGCTGCAGAGTCAGAAGGTGAGCAGCTGGGGCAGGGTGACGGTGGGGTGCATGGTGGACCTAGTCCATCTCAAGGGTGGCACGAGGGGTACCCTCCCCACCTCTCCCCAGCCCTCAGTGCTCAAGGCTCCCATCACCCATCCATGGACATCTAACTTGTGCCTGACACTATCTGCTGGCATGAGTCAAGAGTCACCAAGGCCCTTTCCCCTCTGCAAGGGACACTAACCTTGAGTAAAGCAAATGATCTAGCTCTGTTTCCCTAGATCCCTGGGAACAGTGGGTGGCCAACTTTGCTTATGGAAAAGATGTCTCCTCATTGTAAATTACATAGCTATATATGCCTGATGGATGAGCCATTACTTCGGGCATCCCTGAGAGCAGTGACTGTTGAAACTGGGCACATCCCTTATGGGACCCTAGAAGCTACTATGGAGTTACTACAAAAAATACTGAGTTCTGTGGGGCATGGGGCTTCGAAGCCAAGAAGGACCCTACATCTACCTTTAAGTTTCTTTGACCCTGGACTGTCCACTGACCCTCTGTATTCTTCAGACTGAATCTAATGCCATGTGTGGCCTTATTGGTTTTGTGAGTCTAAGTGTCTACATGAGCTTAAGAAGAAGACCACCCCCCCCTTGGTGGGGGCTATTATGTCACTGTGGCATGATAATGGCTGTCTCCACATGATAAGGGCAGGGCCTAGGTGGCCAGCACCTGGCACAATGCTGGACACAAAACAGGCCTTCAATAAAGGTGTGTGGCGAGCACAAGTAAACTGCACAGCTCTGTACTCGGTGCCCAGATTGGATAGATGAATGTATCTGAGACAAGACAGCTGTCTTTATGGGATTGACACAGTGTCTTCCACTTCATGGATGTTCCCAACTAGAGCCAATTATTATGGAGATAATGATATTAATCTTAATAACTGCTAATATTTATTAGGGACCAGCTACATGCCAGGCACTGGGTTTTTTTGTTTGTTTTTGTTTTGTTGGCGGCTGGCCAGTACGGGGATCAGAACCCTTGACCTTGGTGTGTTATCAACACCGTGCTCTAACCAACTGAGCTCACCGGCCAGCCATACACTGGACTCTTTGTGTGTGTTTCACTGGAATCTCATAGCAATTCTATCAGATCCTGGAATTATCCCAGCTTTACAGAGGAAGAAAGTAAGTCTCAGAGGAGTTAAAGAGCCACATAGCCTCTCAGGAGCACAGCTCTGGCTTGGACAGCTGTGGGACTACAGAATGCTGGCCGACGTAGTACACTATTGTACTTAAGGATGCCCAATGAGTAATGTCTTTAATTCTATGGTTAACTTATCCCAGGCAATAGGGTTGAGCAAACTGTGATAACACTGTGAATCCACAAACTGCCAGGGCTCAGATCCAGCGTCTCCTCAGACCCGAGATGGGTTCTATCTGTTTGGAAAATGCTGTGGGCTCCCAGGGGGTATGGGGTGGCAGGAAGGTGGAAGGAGATGTCCAAGTCTCTCTGGCCAGGATCTCCTGGCTGGAGCTGGTGTCTAACCCATATACCTGCTCTGTCCTGTGCAGCTGGGCAGGAAGATCGAGATGGTGCTGATGGTGTTTGACGTGGAGGGGCTGAGCCTGAAACACCTGTGGAAGCCAGCCGTGGAGGTCTACCAGCAGGTGAGGCAGGCAGCTGGCTTGAGGCCAGGACAGCAGTGAGTCCCAGGCCAATAGGGGGCCACTATTCATCCCTGTTTCCAGTCCGTGAAGGAGCAGGGATGCCCTCCAGGCACCTCCCAGACCAGCCAGGGATGCTGGCCTGAGATCCACCCTCCAAGGAGGAAGAAACAAGAATAACACAGAACAGGAAGCACATGCTCGTGGGGAAGGCAGGATGGGCTGGGGATGGGCCTCTTGTCTCAGCAGCTCAGAGGCTGCAGAAACCCAGGAGTAGGGGGCTGCTGGAACATGGCCTCAACCAGACTCGTTTTGACTCCACAGTTTTTTGCTATACTGGAAGCAAATTATCCTGAGACGCTGAAGAATTTAATTATTATTCGAGGTGAGCCAATGACCAGGAAGATCTCCTGGGGAGGGAGAAGTGGGGAATTGGGGTACATTAGGGAAGCCATCAAGTTCAGAGCTGCTCAAATCAGCCTTTGTGAATTACCAGTTTTTTGTTTGTTTGATCTCCTGGGGAGGGAGAAGTGGGGAATTGGGGTACATTAGGGAAGCCATCAAGTTCAGAGCTTCTCAAATCAGCCTTTGTGAATTACCAGTTTTTTGTTTGTTTGGTTTCTGGTTTTGTTTTTTAGTTCCAATCTCTCAAAGATGGAGAGCTTTGTAATATACAAAATCATGTGCTGGTATGTTGCGGCAATGTCAAATAAGTTATAAGTTTCTAAATGCTTACTGTTATTTTCTTTACTTATGTTAGTGTGGTCTGGTCACAGACGGCCTGTGTACCACACTGGTTGGTGGACACATTTAGAGTGGGAGTGGTCCCTGTGCCATGACCATGCAGTGAGGGGGTTGCTGCACGTGCTCTGGAGTCAGAAGATCTGGGTTCAAATCTGACTATCTCTATGCTTTTGAGCAAGGCTACTTAACTTCACTGAGCCTCTGTTTTCCCATTCTGTAAAATGGGGACACATTACTTATGAGATTGTATAAGTGACACATTAGTTATAAGATTGCTGTGAGTTAAAGGAGCCAGTCCATGGAGAAGATGTAGCACAGAGCCTGGCCCACAGACAGTGCTCAGTGAGCGTGAGCAATTCAGGGTGGGACAGGAGGTCTAATGCAGATGCCCCACCTACTTGCACCCAAGAGGATTCCAAGGCAACCTGGGAAAACTTGAGTGTGGAAAGGAGGTGCCATTGGGGAATCAACGTTGCTGATGCTGGAGCCAGCTTGTGCCCAACACCTTACAACTGGATTAGAGGAAACACCATTTATTGACAGCCAGGCACTGTGCCAAGTGTTACACTATGTTAGTTAATCTTTTTACAGTTAACAGCACTAAGACTCAGAAAGGGCAATTAACTAGCTGAATGTCACACAGCAGGGAATGGCAGAATCCACATCTGTTCAATTCCTGTACAGGACATGCCCTTGGCCGTGGCTTTATATACACAAGTCCTCTCTGGTCCAACTTCCCAAGGGAGTTTCATGTGTTTCAGCCCCCAAGCTGTTTCCTGTGGCCTTCAACTTGGTCAAGCCGTTCATGAGTGAGGAGACACGCAGGAAGATGGTGATTCTAGGAGGTGAGTGGCTTGGCTTCCTGGCTGTGCCCATCCCCACATCTGCTTAGGAAGCAGAGCTGAATGCTAAAGGCTTTATTTCTCCCTGGCTCATCTTCTTTACTCAGGCACTGACCCCAGGCAGCCTGTGCACAGGCAGGCAAGGCCTCAGGTCCTAGACCACGGCCTGGGTGCCATACAAAACTCTTGGACGCTCTTAGGAGTAGGCCCCCAAGGGAGCAGCCGGCCGCAGGACAGCACTGGGCTCAGCCCCCTCTGCCCTCTGTTGAGTCTCCTGAGCCCCCACGGTGTCCCCCTCTTGCTCCCACACAGACAACTGGAAGCAGGAGCTGACAAAGTTCATCAGCCCCGACCAGCTGCCTGTGGAGTTTGGGGGGAACATGACTGACCCTGATGGCAACCCCAAGTGCCTGACCAAGGTACAGGTGCCCGGAGCATGGAGAGGGAGGGGACACGGCCACGGTTGAGTGCCCGCTCACAGCCCTCACCCACAGATCAGCTACGGGAGTGAGGTGCCCAAGAGCTACTACCTGTGCAACCAGGTGAGGGTGCAGTACGAGCACACAGTGCCCGTGGGCCGCGGCTCCTCCCTGCAGGTGGAGAACGAGATCCTGTGCCCAGGCTGTGTGCTCAGGTAGGGACGGTGGCCACTCCACACCTGGGCACAGCTGGGCGGGGCCCGGAGCCCAGGCAGGTGGTCATCAGGGGGGCTCTGTCCATTGCAGGTGGCAGTTCGCATCGGATGGTGGGGACATTGGCTTTGGGATTTTCCTGAAGACCAAACTGGGGGAGCGGCAGCGAGCTGGGGAGATGGCGGAGGTGCTGCCCAGCCAGCGCTACAATGCCCACCTGGTACCCGAGGATGGGAGCCTCACCTGCCTCAAAGCCGGCGTCTGTAAGATCTGTAGGGTTCGGTGGGGTTGTTTTCCTCTTCAAGAGAAATGAGCTGACCTTCTCTTGCCAGTCACCCTCTATTCACTCTCTATTTCTAGTCTCAGGGAGGGTGTGGTCGGCTCCAGGGAGTTGGCTTTCGTGTCTTGGATCTGATGAGTGGGCATGAGGGCAGAGATGCACTGTGGAGGAAGAGCCGGGTTCAGAGCCCATGACCATGGGCTCAGCTCCTCGGTGGTCCCTACACTGGGCTCGTGAGCCTAACAGACAGGAAAGTAAACAGCCATGGGCTTAACATCAGGGGTCCCAGCGAAAGGCCAGCCCAGTGGCATGGACTACCCAACTCCAGGAATCCCAAAGAGGTGGCTTCCTCTAGATGTTTATCTTCCATTCCTAGGCCTTTCAGGCCAGATGCAGTTTGGTCAGTTTTACCAGAAGCAGCGTTGCCCAGGAGCACCACTGACCTTCCACCTCTATCAGGAACAAAACTAGGAGAAGGGGAATCCAACGGTGATTCCCTATGGAGTGGGAGAAAACGTGTTGCTATTGCCTAAGTCAACATGTTACTTAGTTCACCTTTGTGGAGAAGGAGAACCGGGAGAGAGGAGACAGAAAAGTCTGGATGACTCATCACACCCAAGTTCACCTTGAACCTTGCTGTTGAAGGAAATGCCTTCTGTGAGATAGAAAAGCAACTTATGTAGCTCAGCGCTTTCCCCTGGGGGAAGCAGGGCTTCTCTCTGGGATGGGACATCGGGATAAAGGAATCCCACCCAATCCCTCCCCTCCCTTGCTTGGTGATTGCTGGAAAGTCATATCAACTCTCTAAGCCTCGTTTTCCTCATCCATAAAATGGGGATGACAGTACCTTCCGCATGGGGCTGCTTTGAGATTCAGGGAGCTGTGAAGTGCTGATGTATAATGCGTGGGTGCAGGGGCAGGTGCACACTGGTGGTAATTATGATTCCTTTCTGTAGCACAAGCATCATCCGAGGGGATGATAGTGAGAGAGGGGTGTGGGGCTGGGCCCTGGTTGACCCTCAGGCAGCACCCACAGGCCTGGACAGCCCATTCCCAAGAGCACCAGGTATGCAGCTATGCTAGCTTGCTCCACCTGATCACCTTTCTGTCCTTGCAGATGTCCTCCGCTTTGACAACACCTACAGCCTGCTGCACGCCAAGAAGGTCAGCTACACTGTGGAGGTGCTACTGCCCGACAAGGCCTCTGAGGAGAAGCTGCAGAGTCTCAAGACGATGAGACCCTCCCCAACGCAATGAAGACCCTAGCTGCCTCTGTGCCTGTGCTCTCCAATCCCTTCGCACCCCTCCCCTGGCTCCTGCACTCTGGGCAATATGATGCTGAAAGTGGCCTTTAAGAGCCACCTAACCCACCTCACCATCTCAGCTCATTGTGGGCCCACCTGGCATAGTGGCCAAGCAGGAACAGGGACAAGCAATGCATAGGCCACCCTGGAGATTCAGATGGGAACCCCATCCCCTGTTCCCAGAGAATGGGAATGAGAATGAGAACCTTAATGGGGAACAAGATCCACTGAGGAAGTGCCCTGTCTGCAGGAGCTGCCCCTGCATTCCTCCTGAGAAGGTCCACCCAGCCCTGGACTCACCCATGCCGGATGTCCCAGCTTGGGGGTGTACACATGAGCCCCAGGCCCTGCAGCGAGCACAGCTGGAGGCCTGAAGAGCAGGGACGGCCTGTTCTCTGCACATAGGAGGTCAGCAGGAATGGGCAGAGCCGGCTAGAGGCAGCTGGGTGGAGAGAGAGGCTAGGGGTGAAAGTCCCAGTTTCAGCAGAGCATCAAGGTCCATCCAGGGTCATAATCCTGCTTTGGGAAGGACTCCTACTACCCTGTCGTACCACGTGGCCACCCTCCCTGCTGCCTCCCCAGATGCAATGATATCTGGAGTCCCCTGAGGCATTTGGGCTTCTGTGGCAGGCTATGGGGGTGTGGCCAGCTGGGAGTGGGGGACCCAGTGCTGGATTTGACTAAGCCCACCTTTTGTAATGATGGGGGCTTGCAATGCCTCGCTTCAGCCTTCACACCCCCCGCCCCAAAATGAGGGGTTCCTGGACTTGAACCCTGACCCTTGCCCTTCTAACCACCCACAGCCAACTTCCCACCATCAGCACAGCCTCGTCTGGTTTCCTTGCAGAGAGCAAAGATTGCTCTGCTCCATGCACAGGGCTCTCCTGAGGCTCTAATGACAGAGAATTTACACCAGTAGGGCTGTGTGGGGAGTGGCGAGCACCAAGGGGCTCAGGTTCGGCACCAGCAATTCTGAATCCTCCTCGTGGTTAAGTGGTAACTGCCCCAATCACCTGCAGAGATGACAGCAGAATCTCCTACCTGGCAAGGTGTGGGGGGCTCCATGGGGGGGCCCAAGGGGAGCTCAGCAGGGGATATGTCCTCAGCAACCCCATCCCTAACTCAACACTCTCACTTTTTTACAAAATTTTATAAAAAGTCACCTAGAGAGGGGCACTGGCTTGCCCAAGGATTGTTTCTTTGATTATCCATTCATTCTTCAACGTTTATTGAGTATCTGCCCACACCAAGCACTGTAGGTCCTGGGGACACCAAGGACCCTGAGCTGACCCACATCGCTAACAGGAAACTTGTCTGTGTTTGGGGAGGCAGATGTGGCTCCAGTGATAAGTTATCAAGTGGGTATGCTGCCACCTGAGTGGAGGGTGGCAGTAGTTGAATTCTGGGGGAGCATCTAGCATAAAAACATAATGAGGGTTCAGATGTGCTTTGCCTAAGGAAGCGACCCCTGAAGGGAAAGCTGAAAGATGTGTGGGGCGACCAGGTGTGGCAAGCCTTCCTGACTGAGGAATGGGGTGTGGGCCGCTGTGGGGGCACTGAGGCTGGAGGAAACCCAGAAGGGCTCTCTCGGTCTTGGGCGACGCTGGTAATGACTCACAGGTATTTGCTATCTCTTCATGACCAACTGTGTACACATCAGGTAGTTGATAATAAAACCCTTTTATAATAAAGGTTATAAAACAGAGCCTGTTGTTTGTCAGTAAAGAATGGCAAAATCTTGGAAGGAGGCCACAGATCAAAACTCTTGCTTGAAATGAGGTGGTTGAAAATATACAGGCCTAACCTGTCCAGGGAATGGAGGTGGGGCCTGCCCGTCCCAGCCCATCCACTCTGTAAGTCCCCACAATCTTTGGGGGAGGTAGATGGGGAATAGCGGGGAGACTTGTGGGGGCATTTTGATTGTAGTTGGAAAGGCCCACCTGGCTCCCACATCTCCACCCCAGCCCAGCTCACCTTCCAAGGAGCCCAGGCCAGTGGGCACACCACTGTTGGAGAGTCACAGGTGCCCAGAGCAGGTCTTCACCAGAGCTCCATGGCACAGCACTCCGGTTTATACAACGTCTTTACATGTAATGCTGAAGCAGATAGAGATTAAAGCTCCATTTTGCAGGCCAGGAAACTGAGGATCAGACAAGATGAATGCCTTGGCCAAAGCCTCACTGTCCCATGGAAGAGTTGGAGCCAGCACCCAGGTCAGCAGCCAGCGGTGCCCCTGCCCTGCCTCTCACAGGAGGAGAGGGTTGATGTGGGAGGGCGGGCCCCCGCACGGGGCATGTAGTGGGACAGAGTGAGGTGCCATGTTCCTGGGGTGGAGGTAAGGCCCAGGGTTTGGAGAAATCTGGTCAAACATTTGTGCCTCTTGGTGGGATGTGACGGTGTCAGGCCCAAGCTGAGGCAGGAAGCATCAACTCCAGTTTACAGATGAGGAGAGCGAGGCTCAAGGCAGTAAGTGACTGGTGATGTCACACAACATACAAAGAAGGAGGTAAGACGTGAACCTGGTTCCATCTGTCCAGACAGCATGGGAGTGGGAGCATGATGAGCACAGTGCCAGCCCAAACCCAGCAATGCTCAGGTGGCCTCTGCCATCGGCCACCAGGGAGCAGTGTTGGACCAGCCGCACCTCGGTCCACCAGGGGCTCGAGTAGGGGCGGCTCTTAGACTGGCTCATGGAAGGGCGCCTGCTTTACAGGTTGGTTGAGGCTCCTGAGGCCAAGTTCACTAGGCACAGGCTGTTTGTGGAACTGCCTGGAGAGGAAGAAAGAGGTGGTCCAGCCTGGTTCAAATCCCAGCTGTGTCGCTTGCTGGCTCCCTGTCTCTGTCTGTATACCTCTAGACTCCATCTTTCAACCCAAGGCCACTGCCCTATCAGGGCCACCATTGTCTCTTGCTTGGATTACTAGAAGGGAGTCCACAAGTCTCCCTGTGCCTATTTCTACCTCTCCCATCCCATGGGGCAGCCAGAAAAATCTTTCTGAAATGAAAATCTGATCACATCACTCTCTGTGTAGCCCTTCACTGGCTCTTCATTTCCCCCTGGGTAAAATCAGTCTGTTTGGTGATACACAAGGCCCTCTGTGACCAGGCCACTGCACCCCTGTTCCAGCTCCACCCAATGACCTGAATTCACCAATGCATCAAGCTTCTTCCTGCCTCCCTCCCTGCCTTAGCTCACACTGTGCCCTCAGCCTAGGACTCCCTCCCCAACCTTGTTCTTTGCACCCTCAAGTCGCTGGAGCCCTCTTCTGGAGGCCTTCCCTAGGCCCCACCCCCATCTAGGCCCTAGCAGAGTTAGGGTCCCTTCTCCACACTCACAGAGCAACCAATAGAGTCGTCACCACGCAATAGAGTCATCATCTGCCTCGTGTCTGCCTCCTACTCACCCCCAACAGCTCCCCCAGACATTCTAGAAAGCCTGGCAAAAAATAATAGATACTATTTACTGAGCACCTGCATAGGTCTGCTGCTCTACCTATGCAATCTTGTTTAATCTTCATGGCAGCCTTGTAAAATAAATACAGTCATTCCCATTTTATAGGGGAGGAAGGTGAGGCTCAGAGTCACAGAGTCGTTTGCTCAGTGGTGGCACCAGGACTGGAACTTGGGATATCTAACTCCAGAGCCATGTGCCCCCCTGGGCCATTCACCTCCCGAGGCTGGGTCATACCAGGCGTACTGCCAAAGGGCAGAGTCTGGCAGCATGACTCAGCCCTGTGGAGAGACCCAAGGAGAGGGTTGGGCAGGGCAGCCACAGAGCAGGGGAGAAGGAACTAGAAAGGATGGGCTCACATACCTGTGTCCTTGTCCTGCAGTTAAAGGTAGGTTGGGTGATCAGTCCAATAAGAACAGTAAAAGCCTACACTATTGATCACTTACCATGTGTCAAGCAGGGAGTGAGGTACCTTATTTGCCTCTTCTATACTGGCCATCTTAGTACCCTGTAAGGGGATGTTAGCCCCAATTGACACGTGAGAAAACTGAAACTCAAGATCACACAGCACATTAGAAGTGAATCTAGGATTCAAACCCTGGTAGCCAGGTCCATGTTTTCACACATACATTTTTAAACTATTTGAGGATTATTTGCTCAGTGTTGGGAGAGGAATTAAAACTGCTGGGGCTGGGGCCGGCCTGTGGCTCACTC